TCAGACGTACGAAAGCCGAAATCTATTTCGACAATATACAAGTAGTCAACTCCCACTAATTGTTTCCGCCGTCACAGTGCCCTCTTTGTTCTTCCCTGTATTATGGTATCTTCTAATGAAAGAGGGAATCAATATTTTTCCTATTTAAATTTGTAAGTCCTAAAACGTGTAGTTGCATAAGATGTAGGTTTTGGCCCACTCCTTTTATCCCTATTATTATTATTATTATTATTATTATTATTATTATTATTATTATTATTTAAAATCACTTCCATGTTCACTAGTATGTATAATTTTTAAATTAAGCCCACTAACTATTTAATAAATTTTAAAACTCATTAATAAGTATGTATAAAATTTTCAACTATTACATTTAGTTCTTCCTATAAAAGATCTTCTGACCCACAGCTAAAGCCTAAAGGCACAAGGTGTAAGGTTATGGCAGAAAAATAAAATAAACGTGTTGCTATCGCTTTCTGCAAAATCAATCAAAAAGTTGGACACAAAATCTTTAGACATGGCAAAGCTAGAGCCCCAAAAAGGATTCTGTTGGAGCCAAAGCACCAGCAAATTCTGCAGATTAGAGCCGCATAATCCGGTAATTTCAACCAAAAGTTAAAACGAAAGGCAAACATGATCTTAGATGGTAATATTGTCACAACAAAAAAGAAACATGTACAAGTCAAATTCACTACTATTCAACAAGTTGAGGTAAATTGATGCAAGAGGAACATTGCCTACAGAAAGACATAGACAGAAGAGATTCTGACAATGAATGCATAATCTAACTCCTATTATAAGACTCAAAATTATCTAAGTTAAGGAATTCTGTGACTATTTCGTTGAAAACTTTAAAATCGTAATCACTGGTAAGTTATAAACTTCAAAAGAAACTATATATAATGTCAAAGTATCATAAAAGCGTGTTTTTTAAGGAGACAAAAAATTGTGGTAACAAAGATGTACTTTCAAGTGTGACTAAATGTTCAATATTCTTGGACTAATTCTTACCACACAAGTTTTAACACTTTTTCAATAAGTTATTAAACAAGTTGCCTACTACTGTACTTTGTCTTTTTAAACGGTAAATTTACCCTTTCACAAATTGTCTGTTTATTTGATAACACAAAGACAAGTATGTAACTGATTTAAAATTATTGTGTTGTGGCGAATGACCTCTGCAATGAAAAATTTGCTCGACATAAAGTGGATAAGAAAATGATCAAGCTATTTGCCAAAGTAAAAAAGATAAGTGGTCGATTACTTTACCCTTACTTTTCTATCGGAAGTCCCAACTCCCAAAAGGAAAAAGATAGATGCTATCGTCCGGTCTGTAACTTATCCAGCCCAACAACTCTTACCTTTCCTCTTCTTTGGGCCCATATTTAGAGTTTGAAAAAGCTTCTCTTTTAGCTAAAGTGCTAAACTACTCTATCTTCTTTATGGCACCTTATTTCTCCCTCCGCCCCATTTGCATTAATAGATTTAAAAAAAAAGAAAAAAAAAAGGTGTTTTATTTTATGTAAATTAGAATAAGGGAAGGAGTAATTATTAAAAAGAAAAGTAATACTATATCCTAGTTTGGATCAGCTAGTGGTGGGGCTTATTAGCCTCTGTCCACAAATGGTAAGATCATATTAAAAAAGGGCAACCTAGGAATTTTCAACGGTGGTGTCTTGAATTAAGGTCTATTCCCAAAAATAGGGATTATAAAAGAGAAATTGAAAACCACAGTAAATTGGTTTTATCTCCCTTTGGTAAAACTATGAATATTCAATTCCTCCAATTTTATTTTATTTTTATTTTTCTTTTGTTTCCTTATCAACAAAGCAATGTCTTACTTTTAATCTGAAATTATTCCAAAATCGTATCTACTTTTTATCGAAATATTTTCTCTATTCTTTTCGATATCTTATCATTATTGGATAGTCAAAACAATTCGGAGGATCCAAATTATTCTAAGAATGTTCAAGTTATTTTAAAATTTAAAATAATTAACTTTATCAATATTTTGTGGACTCACTTTAAGTATAGCGAAGAAGAAATTGTATTGAATCCTGGAAGGTTATTAGACTCTAGGGCCTAAATTTATGATGCTGGGAAATAATACGAAGACTAGATTTTATACGAGATCTTACTATTAGAAAAGAATGATAAGTGGCTAATGTTGCAATTTCTGTCTAAAAAGTCACAATTCTGTTTAGATTAAGTTAGCAACCAATGGATTGCTAATCATTGGGTAGCTAAGTTGATTAATTATAATCTTGTTCTTGATAATGACAAGCTGGATTAAATTGCACTTATATTCTTACTCAATAATGCTAATAACTACAGTCTACAGCTACATAACGTGAGTGTTAATGCATCATCTCTTGTAGTTATATAGTTGAGACTTGAGACAACTACCAACATTGAATATATTTTAAGTTTCTTTATGTTATTCTTTTTGGCTTCTTTGCTAATATTAATAGTTTAATTAATGAATTGCCATAGCATGATTAACTCAATTTAATTCTCGTTGAGCTAAACTTTTCTAGCTCATTTATATTGTTCGCATATGATTAAAGTAGCAACAAGTCTTAATACTTAATAAGTCCTTAGATACCTACTTTAGTTTGGTCGGTATAAAAGCGAATAAGGGCTTATTTTTAGCAAATAATTTAAGGGCTTAGTTCTAGTACTTTTAGTATTTATTTTAATAACGCAAATCAAGGACCAGCGATGCGTATATAATTAAGTAAATATTTTGTCAAAGCTCAGTGATCCGTTTGTTTCTCTTCCCAGAATGCATCAGCTATTTTTCTTAAAATACACTAATCCAAGTGTATTGAATTTGTGCCACACAAAATAGAGTGATGAATCGGTATATTTATTGAGTCCATCGAGATTAATGGAGCTCGAACCCACAGCTTCCGCTACTCTTATTGAACTACATCCCAGAAAAATTAGATGTACTCTTTTACATAGAGAACTTAAACCTAAGCAGTTGAGACTTCCTCCAAAAGAAGTCCATCTTGACCCTAGGGCCGTTGGCTTCTTAGAATGGTCAATTCTGCAAAGGAGAATCGTTTCATATGATTTTTTTTCAAAACTTGAACCCGAAAAATCTAGTTAAGGATACGAAGATCTTATCCATCATCTTACATTATTTTAATAACGATAAGCAAGTAAGGGTATGAAGGACTTGCGATACACATTTTTTCACGTAGATGGATATGGATAGTTACAGTTAGGGGTGGGCATTCGGGCAATTGGGATTGGATATAAAAATTTTAGTTTGGATTTTCAGTTTTCGGATTGAATCAGATTTTTTAAGTTTGGATTCGGATTAGTCGGTTTGGATATTTTGAATTTTCGATTTTGAGCTTAAAAGTTGAGATGTTTCTTCTTTCTATAATAATGAACATCCAAATGAAGTATTCATGTTAAATTGCCTAAAACGTTCCTCATTTTCACCGCAATCATATCCAAATAAAGTATTCAAGTAATGAAATCATCATCAAGAAAAAACAACAAAGACATTAGTAAGGCCGATAAGAAGTAGCAATTGTAAATTCATGTCCCAATATAAAATATTATGATAATATCTTAGTAACTAGTATTGAATATATCAGATTATGTCTAATAGTTAGAATATTGAACTTATCATTACTGCCATATGAATAATGGATTAAATATAAAATATAAAAATTTCAAAATTTTGGGAATCCAAAAATCTGAAGTATCAAATCTAATATCTAATCCGAAATTCAAAAGGTTTAAAAATTAAATCCAAAATCTAATTCATAATCCGAAAATACAAACCAAAAATCCAAACAATTCGAATTTCAATTTGGATTTCGGGTTTGTCAAATTATGTCCACCCCTAATTACAGCGTTAGTAGAAAGAGCTAACAAAAGATAATTTTCTCAGGAAAAAAAAGCCATTTTGCTGAAGCAGTATAAGAGATTGCTTTTCAGAAGATTCATGAGAAGAGAATATCAACAATCCTTACTAGGAAAAAAAGAACAACTTTCCTTATTTAGTTGAATGAAAAAGATAACTGGCCTTAAATAGGAAATGAATACGTAGTACATCTTAGTTTTAATTTTGTGTGAAATAGAAAATTACACGAAGTAATAAAATTAAATTTTTTTAGTTAGACCGCAATATACACTGTTTTAGGAATCCGACTAAACGAATACCCCGTTGGCCAAGCTGAAAAAATTAGCTTATTTTGAAAAAAATACTTTTGATGAGAAGTAGTTTGTGTTTGGCTAATTAATTTGAAAAGACTTGTGAGCAACAATTAGTGTTTAGCCAGGTTTTTAAAATTACTTCTAAGTATATTTTTTTCAAAAGTGCTTTTGGAGAGAAGCTACTTTTTTTTGCTTTTCCAAAATTGCTTCTGCTTCTGTATAAAAGCACTTTTTTTTCTTCCAAAAACTTGATTAAACACTTCAACTTTGAAAAAAAAAAATCTTCTAAAATTGGAGAAATTTGGCAAAACAAACTATAATGCTGAGATTAAACTTTTGATCTAAAAAATATCATGACCAGAATGAAAGTTGGAAGAAACTTCACCCCAAAAGAATTATTCTTATATAATATTACCAAAAGAAAGTTAGTTATCCTTAACCTGTTTGACTGGACACGAAATTTAAGAAAAAATGAAGACTTTTGGAATTTGTGGTCCTAAATAAGTTAAAAAGGGACCCAGAGTATTTGTACGGTTATAAAAATTTCTCATTAAGAATAGAATTATAAGTTTAAATAAAATTATTTTTAAATTTAAAAAAAAATATTTTTTTAAAAAATAAAATAAAATAGGTTCACGTAAACTATTTTATAGTTTACGTAGTATAATAATAGTTTACGTAACTATTTCAGTAAACTACGTAATACTGAAACGGAGTAAGTAGTATAATAATAGTTGGAAATATAGGCCATCCCAATGACAAAAGGACAAGGATAGTGGAAAGAATCTAAAAGACAAATCCATATATCTTACGCTTCATCATCAAGAAAAATCCAAGCAAAGATAGACCCCAAACTCCAAAGTGTTGACAAATGGCCCATCTCTCTCTCTTCCTATGTAAGTTACTAACTATTTTCTTACAAACCCAGGCGTAGCATCTTCTTCTTTGTATTGTAAAGAGAGAGAGAGAGAGAGATAAAAGACTGAAGAGTGGTCCCAGCAGATCCGGAAGACGCCATTTCCTTTCCCAGTCCCACATTTCGCCTGTTTGGTTGACGACAATGGAAATGGACTTTCGGTAGCATCTCTTTCTTGGCTTTTACTATAAGCCTCCTCATGATTTTCTGATATTATTTCAGCTCTATCTTCACTCTTCTCCTATAATGGGTTTTCTTCCGATTTCTTTTAGCTCTGAGCTCCGCTGGAGCTAGTCTTCGATTACTGATCTCTTTCTGCGTTTTTTCTTTAAGCTGAACCCGATTCCCTCTCTGGTAATTTCTACAAATTCCTTCTTTGTTTCGTTTGTTTGCTTTTTATGATTTCCCTTATCTGGGTATTTTGGGTGTTCGTAGATGCATCTTTGTTTGTCGCTTTGTGCGTATTTGTGGATTGGAATGTTGGGTTTTGTTTTTCATCTCTCTTCTTCTTCCCCCTTCTGAGTGTCTGCATCTGTGATGTTTGACGGTTGCAAGTCCTGTGACTGACGATTGTATCGGTTGGATCTATGATTGTTGACTTTTTCCCTTTTAATAAATATTTTATCCAAATTTTGGGTTTTGTAGTACTGGCATTTTCCGGTTTTTTTTTCAACGTGATCTCTGTTTCAATGTTTTTGGAGTCAAAAGCCAGATTTGTTACTTTCTTTCCCCCTTTTTTCGGTATGTTGCCACTACAAGTGCTTCTGGTTTTAGAAACTGAGTGTTTTGTGGATGCGTGATTTGTTATGTGCCTAAAAATCGATATTATCTTTTCATGTTTCCTTCGTTCGATTTGCATGGATGGATTTCTAAGTCTCGATTTAACTTTAGGCAAATGATTCCTAATTGAGTTTGAAATTCCTTGAACTAATTTATGATACCATCGGGGCACAATTGTAGTTATCTTTGAGTGTTGCCTCTTTATCAGAATCTTTATTTCAATGTTCACAACTCATTTACCATTCTGACCTTGATCCTGACTGTGTGAAATGGATCAACACAATATGGAAAATTGTATTTCGTTGGATATAGGAGGGCATAACATTTCCGAACAAAATGCAGCATTGTGCTTCTTTTCAATATAAATATAAACATCCTTGTCTTCTATACTTCGAAGTACAACAAGTTCTTTTGTTTGAATTTTCATCTCTCTCCCATATTAATTGTGACCTACTCTTCGGTATCTTCCACTATTAGTGCTGAGGTATTAAGTATTAACTATCCTATTTCATTTGGTTAACATTCTAAACTTTGCACTTTGTTTGTGTCAAAGGGTGGGGAGAAAAATGCAGTGGACAAGCTATCTCCCGGGATATTACCCTCCAAAAGATCTTAGTGGGAGCGTTACTGGTAATTCATGGTCTCTACCACACAATGATATCACGTGGAACGGTGCCAGAGGCTTCTATGTTTCCTTGCCTCCATTTATGGTGGACCAGAATGTGGAATTAGTTCATCAAAAGGAAATATTGAAGCAGACGATACGCAAGCATGAAGCAATATTTAGATATCAGGTATACACATGAGCCTTTGATCTTATCCTTTGAAAGAGATCATGTCATCGTCCAATCAATGAACTCTAAACCATGTTTTCTTTTATGCTGGTCAGATAGTTATCTTAGGAATGCTCTGATCAGACGGTGATTCTATGAAAGGATCAGAATGGATATAACTCTAAAGCATGTTTTCTTTCTCAGGTCAATGAACTACATCGCGTATATAGAAGACAAAGAGAGTTAATGGATGAGATTAGAAGGAGAAAGCAAATGGAAGATCATTTACACTTGCAAGCATCAGAGTCGAAGTCTTTTATGTCACAGTTAAGGTCTGAAATTTCCCAGAAAACTGATTGGCCTCTGGTTGACCTCACAAGCGCCGAGCCGTCTGCACCATGTAGAGAAATGTTTCAAGGTTCTTCAAATTCTATTGCTGGTCAGATAGTGCAACCAGGTGCTGACTTGTTGACGGAACAAAATGTTAGAAAAGATTGGAAAATGTCATCTTCGATGAGCAGTGCGTCAAGAAATAAAACATTCGATCTTGAACTTCCAGCAGAAGAATACGTAGATATTGAAGACGGAGAACAATGTGTGGAGGAAAGTCCTGTTCAAGGGCCCAATATTCTGATTTCAGAGATTCAACCTCAACATAGTTCAAAAGTCAACTTTGTTTATCCTGGAGATTCTTCGATTTCTAACTCAACTCCTAGGGGTACCTTTCTTTTGTTTGACCTGAATGAACCAATACAGCCTGATGAAACAGGGTGTCCAAATTCTGCACTTGAATCTATGGACGTTCATGAGGAAATCAGCGAAATGGATCAGGATCTATCTGGAACAGGGCATGCAGAATGCTCAACTCTGAAGAAAGAAGGTATTCTGTGTATTCTCTTGAGACAATATTCTAAATATAATATTTATGCTGACAGGATGTTCTTAACATTTGATTTGCCAATACTGGCTGCTTTTCTATTTCTTCCATCAGATTCTTTATGTGTTCTTTGTTATGAGTCGCATGCTTATCCAATTAAACCTATCACAAAAATGTTGGTAGAGTGAACATTTTCCTCATTTCATTTTTATTTCCTGCTGTTACAGGGGGAGGTGTAAGCAACCTGAATCCTTCTGATGAAGTTTCTTCTGTTGAGAGAACACTTCTTCAATGTAATCAAACAGCAAGTTCACCTCCAAGATTTGTAGACAAGAGTCGTAATGGAAACAAAACTAACAAATCATTGCTAGTTTCTCCTCGGAAAAAAATTAAGGAGATACCCTTCGCAGTTCAAGCTCTTCCATGCTTTATTACTAATGCATCACTCAGTAAGAGTCCTAAATCTTCTGTTGGGAATTCTAATCTCACTGGAATGAAGAGTGACCTGTACAACAGTAGTGCTTCTAGTCCAACTTCTGGCACATCAGGCTCCTGCTTGATGAAATATGGTGATAATGACCCTACATCTGGACAGACCCATGCTGTTAAGTTATCTAAGATTCCAGATAGCATGAATTCAGTGAAGGGTATGGACTTGAATTGCACACCTTCTTCCGATTTGTCTGATGATCAGTTTTCCGCCCCTACCTCCAATATTTCACATCTGAATCTCCCTGAAGGCAGAGAAAGAGAGATTTGTGAAAAATATGTTCTTCTTGACTGTATCCCGAGTCCTGATTCTGCACTCAAATCTAGAAAATCTACTACTAATTCTTCCATTAACAGCATCAAGGAAGAAACTCTATTATCACCTGGTCACAGTGAAGCAACAATGACTAGTGTAGACAGAGATTTGGAAGCTCCTGTAAGCCCAGAAAACAAGGAATGTTCTCCACCTAGAGGGGACTCTCTGGACAATCCGATCGGTACATCTGCCCAGTGGTGTAAAAGAGACCGCATGAGTGATTACACTGGGGAAACTGACAGGGCTGCAGCAGAGACACTACTTTTTATTTCGTCATCTGCTGTCAAGGCACGCTCAAAGACTCTCACTGGTGAACCATCTGAAGCCTCTCATGATTCTCTGGGATGGCTTGCTGATATTGCAGCTTCTTTGGCAAGTAATCTAGAGAATGAGGTTGGATCACGTAGTCGTTCAAGGAGCAGCCGACCAAGGAAGAGAAACTATCAGAGGGTCCTTCAAACAGAAGTGCTACCTGCTGCTGCCTCTGTGCCTCTGCGTCAGTTGAATGAAGATCTTCTGGCTATTGAAGGTCTAAAGTTACCTGCAAATGCTGCATCCGAATCAGGTCGATGTAGGAAAACTCTGCGTAAGACTAGTTCGAGAAGTAGGAGATGGTCCCATTTTGGGGGGAGAACTGGTTCGCTGTTACATCCACATCCTAGTAATGACAAACATAGCGTTACAGAGAGATTTTGGAGAGACTGGGGGGTGACAAAAGGGCGCCAAAACGGTCGGAGAGCTCGTTCTATCTCCTCTTTTTGCTGATGGCTATTTGAGAGTATTTTTTGACTCATGGAAATATTATATGATATGCACAAAGTTAATTCATAAGAGTGATTTATTCGAGGCATTTCTGCTCTTGGAATTGTATGTACAGGTAGTTGGCCGAACTCATATAGTATATACTTATTTTTGGGGAACTGCTCATGTAGTTACAATGACAGTGACAAAGATAACAATATTTTGTTGTTAGTTTGATTGATAGACCTTTTGCCATCTTTCATGAATTATATAGTATATCTACACACTAGAACTACTGTAGATGGTAGGAACCTGAATTATTTGGCTCGACTGTAGCATATAGCGTCTTATTACTTAATTCTACTTTCTTCCTTCAAATATACAAACCTAGGGATGGCAATGGAGTGGGGCGGGCCTAACATTTTGACCCGCCCATACACTGCCCCATTTAGCATTTTTCCAGATTATTTTTGTCCCGTCCTGCTCCATTTATGTTTTTCATTAGTTTTTCTTTTGCAGTTCTCTAAATTAATTTTTTAACTTTTTCAATTTTTTATTTGAACCTTTATATGTTAAAAGAACCAATTTGAACTTGACTACAGATTATGCTTCCAGCAGCATCCTTTAATAGAGTAATCAGTTAAGGTTAAAATACGAAACCAATGGCAACAAAATGGATAAACACAATCTGTTACAAATTATAAGACCAATAAGCTTGAGATTTTTCTAAACGTAAAAATTATACTATTCAACTCATCATTCACTAGTAGCAATATGAAAAATTTAACAAGCAATCGAACTGGACCATACCGTTATAGTTACTATATTCAAAGCCAAATCCATATAAAAAAAAGAAAAGAAAAAAAGAATGATAACAGAAAGAAGAGAGAAACTTGATACTGAATTATTCAACCAACATGTCAAATAGTTTAATAGAGCAACTTTTGTGGGTCCATCCCCATAAATGAAACAAAGAAAAAAAAGGAAGAAAGGGATCCATCCCCATAAATGAAACAAAGAAAAATGGAGGAAAAATAGTAGACGTGAGAGGAAAATGTCAAATATAGTAGGCGTGAGAGACTGAGGCTCCGCCTATAAAAGGAGAGCTTCGAGTCTCATCTCTACAAACCAACAAAGAGAGAAAGAAAGAGTGAGGCATCACTGACAGGGTATAAGAAAATAGTCTGTGAGAAAAATAGAGAGTGACCGATATTATAGTGAGGTGGGAATATCAAAAGAGAATTATTTCTTTTGAGTGTTGTAGTGATCTTTGCAATATTTTACTCGGACCTACAACTGTAAAATTTCTTGACATAGTGATATCAGTTGCTCGTCTCGGGACCGTAGTTTTTTTCCTTATTCAAAAGAGGTTTTCACATAAAAATCTTGATGTCGTTGTCACTCTTTTATTCTTGTTAATTACCGTATCTCGGTACTACGTTATTATTCCGCTTTTATTACTGTGAATATTATTTTTGTAGGGAGTTTATTCCCAACAACTAGTATCAGAGCACAGGTTCTGCTTGTTTACATAAATACTATTCACTGTCGGTAGTACTATACTCGGTGAAAAATAAAAATGTCTCGAGTAAAGTATGAGGTAGCAAAATTTAACGGAGATAGAGGTTTCTCAACATGGCAAAGAAGGATGATGGATTTTCTCATCCAACAAGGATTACACAAGGTACTAAATGCTGATGTGTCACGACCCAAAATCCAATTAGTCGTGATAGCACCTAACCCATTCCGTTAGGTAAGCCAATTACCAACTAACCAATTTCAATAATAATTATTAAAGTAATTTAAGTGAATAAAGATCCTGATCTTATACAATCCCCAAGAACTGGTAGTACAAATCATGTACTTCTAAGAATAGAGTATACAAAGCGGAAATGAAATAAATACATAGTCTGTTTGAATAATACATAAACAGAGCTTTTATAAATCTAAGGCTACCTTGAATAAGAGGCAGCTACAACAGGAACGCATGTACATATTCAAATCCCGCAACCATCGAGCACAGTAACAACAACAGCCAATATCTGTATGCAATGTGCAGAAGTGTAGTATCAGTACAACCGACCCCATGTACTGAGTAAGGAACAAACCTAGCCGTAGGTTGAAAGTAGTGACGAGCTTCCACCAAGGTCGGATCCAAAACCAATAGTTCACAATAATCCATAACAACATAAAGTAAATAATACCATAAGTAATTCAGAGATAAAATACTCAGCTAAATCATGATTTCAAAAACAAAATAATAGTTCTTTCTTTCAAATACATTAGTGAAAACCCAAATCGTTTGCCGAAGTTGCCAATAATATGAATAGTTTGAAAACAATAAATTTCTCCAAAAAAAATTTCAATAATAAATAGGATGTTTCATTTTCCTTCCGGATAACCCGTGTAAAATAAATGCATCACTATCCCCATCTGTCAAAATGTGTGAGAAATCATGAATGATGTGATGTTGTACAGCATGAGGAAAAATACATCTCTATGCATGTATGTCATGTGTGCATGCCAATGTGATGCACCTCAGTGAAAAACATCATAAACAGCCCCTCGGGCAGAACATCACTCATATACAGCCCCTCGAGCAAACCTCACAGTCACTCGTGCCACTAGGGCATACCTCACAATCACTCTTGCCATTCGGGCATACCTCACAATTACTCTTTCCACTCGGGCATACCTCACAATCACTCATGCCTCCCAGTCACTCAGCACTCGGCACTCGCACTCAGTAGGTACCTGCGCTCACTGG